GTCACATGTTCCGAGGAACAGTTTTTCTCCAGTGTCAAAAACTGACAAAAAAGGAAAAAGTTTTTTGACAAAAAAGAAAAAGTATTCAAATTTATATGTATTCATCAATTTCCTTTTGGTTTTCTGTATTGTTAGTTTCTAGATTACCCTGTAGGAATTTCACATATACCATCTTTTTCTGATGTGAAAATAAATAACTTATATTATTTTTAGTAAATAAAAGTTAACTAATAACTGATGAAACCAGATTGGAGTTCCTTCATCTTAAATTTTAGATAAATTGCAAAACATTTTAGTATATATTTGCTTCTTATAAATATTATACTCTTTTACTATTTTCACTTTTATTTTCATTTAACTATTTTTCACCAAGTTAATTTTATTATAATTTCAGTATAAAGGCTAGCTAATTTTATTAACTTGGTGTCTGATATTTTAATTACCAAATTTGGCATCATTTATACTTTGACATTTAAAAAACTTCTCAATTCATGAAAAATGTGTACTTTAAACAAATTAACTTTTATGCTGTGCTTTGGTGTTTTCTAATCTTCCCTCACTAATTCCATTTTATAACATTACATTTTTCCTTATTAATTGTTGCCCCTTTGGCTCATTATGAGACAAAAAGAAAGTAGAACAGCAAAGTAGTTTTTTTCATTATCTGGAAGTCTGCATTTAAAGTTAATTATCTTTACTCAGTTTTCAAATTAGCCCCTCAGGTGATTGCAGCCACCCTGGTTTTTCCTTCACTATATAAAGTCCTCAGGCACCTCTAAGAGTGATCCCTGAACACAGAGCCAAGAGTATGCCTTGAGAATCTTTGGATATCCCCAGAACAAAATATTGTTTCTTGTGAAACTGGTGAGTTGGATTAGTTAATGCAATATAGTTTCTGTCCAGTGATGAGGAATCCTGCCAAAACCTCCTTAGCAGTGCTGGAGAGTCACAAAGGCCACACTTGACAGAGCTGGTGGTGGCACTGAATAGCAGGGATCAAAATGGTGGCCTCATGCAAAGAACACACTCCAAGCCTTTGTCCTATCTTCCTGGTCTTACTTTGAATCTTTTGTTAAAAGTTATCGATTATTTTCTGTCTATTATGGCTGGAGCAATAGGACAGTGGTAGGGTGTTTGCCTTGCATGTGGCCGACATGGCTAACCGGAGTTCGATTCCTCCGTCCCTCTCAGAGAGCCAGGCAAGCTACCAAGAGTATATCGCCTGCACAGCAAAGCCTAGCAAGCTCCACATGGCGTATTCGATATGCCAAACACTGTAACAACAAGTTTCACAGTGAAGACGTTACTGGGCCTGCTTGAGGAAATCGATGAACAATAGGAGAACAGTGCTACAGTGCTACTTGAAATCATATTTCTATGAGTTTTTGATCTTCATTGGAAAATTGAACTTTTCAGCTTTATATTTTGACTGTCAGTGATATATAATGCTAACATACAATGACTGCAATAAGCATTCTGTGTTTGAAAATAAATAGTATTGCTATTCTTTAAATCTTATTTCTGCATTTCATTTGGAGAGTTTTTAAAAACATAGAATAGTATAAATTAACTTTTAAACTTTATTCATGGCTAACTATTCTTTCTGGAAGTTGTCTTATTATAAAATGCCAAAGGAGTTACTTCCTTGGATATAAAATTATATACCTTGGAATATAATGCCACTCCCATTACAATTAAAAACTGAGAGTTTTACCTAAAACTGCTAGTCTAAAGATCAATCCCAAAGAATTTCCTACTCCCAGAAATAAAATATCTCATAAATTATTAAAAGGGCAAACTCTTTATTAATAATGAGTCTGTTGTCTAATATTGCATTTGTCATTGATCAGGATGTTTCTTAAAAAATATTCACTTCCTGGGGGTATGATGCTGCCAGCAGGTCAATCTGTACCTGTGAGACGAGTGCATCAGCAGCCTGATGGCAACTTCAGACTTCCAGATATCCCAAAATTGCTGCTCTGCCTTTGGCCAGACCTCAAAATCTTGGGACAAAGTTTACCAAGAAAGTAAATGGCCAAAAGTTAGGTATGTGGGAAACACACCCACAAACCACCTCCAGCTCGGCTATATAATTGGAGGCATGGCCTCTCTGGTTCCTGATTGAACTGCTTAACGGTCATGATCCCAGAGACTCAGAAACATATCTAGAAACTCAGTGGCTTTTGGCAGAAATGCGTCCGGTCCCTGCAATAGCTTACCGGTGCTGGGCCACTCCATGTGGGAACAGGTTTCGTGCCTTGGCCTGTTCCCCCTGGCGGCCCAGGGGGAACAAATGAAGTGGTGTTGTCACTCCATCTGCTCCCCCTTGGCCGCTCGGTGGCCGTCATCCTTCAGAGGCCATTGGATAGTCAGGCTTGGGCCCGCAGTGATGAAACTGTTGGGCCTCACAGGATGGGGGTGGAGCCGGTTCTGTTCTCCCTGTCCCAATGAGACCACAAGTCATCGCCCACGAATGGCCTCTCTGGCTCCTGGTCAAGCTGCTCAACGGCCATGATCCCAGAGACTCAGGAGCAAATCTTGAAACCCGGTGGCTTTTGGCAGAAATTCCTCCAGATTTAAGTGTTAAAATTTCAGAATTTCAAAATCACATGGCCCTACTGCAGCCACGCAACATCATATGTTATTCATAACAGCAATAGAACACAAATTGTCTACTGTTGCCTTTTAAGCAGATGTGAGTGTCGGGGTAAAATCTCAAATAATAATGGTGGGTCAGGTGTCGAAATATTGAATGTGATCAAAGTAGAGAGAGAGTATTGTGGAAGCCATCTGCCACACAGGTAGGGGGAGGGTGTGGGATGGGGTTTACTGGGTTTGTTTTGTGGTGGAGAATGGGCACTGGTAAAGGTATGGGTGTTTCATTGTATGACTGGGACTTAGACCCAAAAGCTTTGTAACTGCTCTCATGGTGATTCAATAAATGAAATTATAAAAAATGAAAATAAAGTAAGGTGTACTTCATGCACAATTCAATCAGCTAATCAGTGGCTGAATAAATAGCAGTACTCCTACAAAAAAAAATATTTACTTCGTGAAAATTCATTAATCTATTACTTATTGTGAACTTTTTTGTATATCTGATATGACTCAATGAAAATCACTTTGAAAAATTATCAGAAATGAACAAATAAAAGAATAATTGCTCATAATTTATGCAGTTAAAAAACAGTTACATACCTGAGAGTCTTTTTAGAAAACAACAATTAAAATTTCTTGAAACTACTAAAACTAATCCGGGACTTCTGGAAGATAGCTCAAAAACTCAAGAGTGTACCTGGCATGTATGAGGTCCTAGGTGCAGCTTCTGGTGCCACATGATCATCCTACAGCACCACTGAAAACTTCATTTGTTCCCATCTAACTGCACTCTAAGAGCACTGCATCATTAGCTAAGCATGGAGCAGTCTGGTGCAAACTTGGTTGAGCATCACCAGTAGTGAACTCCAGGTTCTCTGAGCATGGTTTATGAACACCCTCTGCCAAATCCTAAAATAATGACAACAAATGACAATTACTTTCAGCTTGAGTAAAATCTATTATCTTAGGAATTTACCACAGCATTACTTTATTTATTAGAAAAATAACGTAAATGAAACCTCGTGCCAATCTAATCTATGGAGTGATCTATCCCCCTGGGATTTGGTACCAAGGTCAGCAACTGCTGTCTTTTACAGACTTAACTCATAAGTACACTGTATTTCCCTATATGATCACTTAGTTTTAATAAACATGTTTATTTTATTCTTTTATTTTTTGTCTTGGAGTCAGGGGCGACTCCCGTATCTTTGTAGGATTACTTTAGAAAATCACTTCTGGTGGTGCTTAGGGGATCATATAGAGTTCCAGGGATCAAACCAAGATCAATGTATCATCATGCAAGACTAATTCCTAACCCTTATTCTTCTCTCCAGTTTCCTGTTTTGAAGAAATATAAATTTTAATGAATTTTTACCAGCCAATATTTATATTGCCTACGAATAAAAATAATTTACATTTTCTTTACAACAATCAAAATCAAATTTTATTTGCACATTTAAATTTATATATGTGATCTGAATTTGCTATTAAGTTAATGCTGAAGCCATTTTCAGAGACTACATAGCATTCTTACAAAGAGTTTATGAAGAAAAATAAACCAAAAGAAGGCATAATTGGTTTTAAAGGACATAACTATAATCATTCGGTACAATTTAAGAAAAAGAGGTTTTGTTACCATTTTAATTAAAAATCATTTTTGAATTTTGGAAAGAAAATTCATTCTATGCTGCATGGATAAATTATGAGAAATCTTTGGAAACCTGGAAAATAAAATGCAAACTTAGATAGTGCTGACCCAGCTGTCTGAGGAAAGTGTGAGAGTGTATAACCTCTTCAGATAACCATGACTCCGTGAGAAGTCAACTCTAATGAAATGAATTAAAGCAATTCATGGTTTTAGATAGAGTCTTCATTCCACAGAGGGCAAAGTAAGGTGCCCTATTCTCTACTGTTGAATGACCATTTAATCAAAGATAAGAGTTGTATATGGGAGAGCCACCAAATGTGCCATGAAACCCATATCTTTGCAATTAACGATATCTTGCATAACAGCTCATGCTTCACATCTTCTTCCTTGATCTTTGTAAAAAAATAGAGCCAAATATTGTGACCTATTCCTCCTTAAATTTGCTGTAATATAAAGAAGAGGAAGAAAAGAGGCAGTTCTTCTTTGATTATAGGCGAGGGGAATTCTCATCTTGAACTTTCATAGATAAGATCATTTTTAAGTGGTCAAAACATGGCATTTAGATTCACTTTCCTTGAACTTTCTCAATCTTGAATTCTTTTGCAAAATATTCTATTTCATTTTGTACTCTGGTTTACAGATCTCCCACATAAGCAAGTATATTTGTACATAAAATGGAGATTTATAATACTTTGCCTGCCCACTGTCTAATACTAATTATTAAATTTATTTTACACTGACCACCCCACCCCAGGCACTGAAGGAGCAGTATTCGGACACTCTGTGGAGACACCTCACATTAGAGCAGAACCTTCCCAAGACCTCAGGTAAGTTCCTATTCTTACACTTTTGTCATAGCTTCTATCATTTCTTATTATCTTTAAGACATAAAATACTAAAATATTATCTGTGTTAAATACTGCATAACAAATTGGCATTGTAGCCTACACAGTAAAAAGATCGTCAAGAATTTGACTAAGGGTAAAAATATGTGTAATATTCTAATCATTGGTGTATTTTCCCCTAATAAATGAACAATAAATAGAAAAATAAATATATCAGAAAAGCAGAATAGGAAAAAGTAAGAAAAGACAATCATTTTAACAGTGTTTAAATTCAAACCGATAAAAACGGGGATTCTGGAAATGAAACAAAGTTATGCATAGACTAAAAGAAATGAGGCAGAAAGCAGGTGAAAGTTATCATCTCAAAAAGCATTATAGAAAGAGTTCACATAGTAATCATAACACTGAGAACTTCATTGTCTTCAGTCTATCACTCTCAATGGTGCTTCCAGACACAATGCTGTATCTAGCATGAGAAAAATGTAAAGGCTCTCACTATTAGAAAGGTTGTGAAATGACAAAGTTACAGAAAATTCTCAAGACATTCACAATTATTAATAAAAGTAGAAATATTAAAATTTAGTCATTATTCCATGCATGTTTCTAATGTGAGTAATGTTGCTTTAGGAAATTGAAAAGGTTTTATATAATTCTTTGCGTTCATCATTTCACAGCATATGCATATATAAAATCATGTTATATACCTTTAAGCTATTTTAATGCCCTGCGTAATAAAAAGTATACTTTATATAACTCATCTATGATTAATTTTATTCAAGAATTGATTTTTATAATATTTAAAAATAGCCATAAGCCTCTCGGAGAGCCCGGAAAACTACCGAGAGTATTTGATATGCCAGACACAGTAACAACAAAGTCTCCAATGGAGACGTTACTGGGTCCGCTCGAGCAAATCGATGATCAACGGGAGGGCCTTTACTTACTTTTAGTCATAAGTTAAATATAAAACACTCATTAAAACTACTTATAAATATAAATACAATATCAACTTGAGAGTTTATATTCTTGCTTTAAACACATAATGAGCATATTAAGCAAAAAAAGTTGTTTTATTTTAGAAGGAAATAGACTCAAAGCATTTTATCCAGATGAGTGAGTGTGTAAATGCTGAAATGTAAACAAAAGTCCTGGTAAAATTGTTTGAAAATATTCTTCTAAAAATAAGCCATACAGGGCTGGAGCGATAGCACAGCGGGTAGGGCGTCCGCCTTACAAGCGGCCAACATGGCTGACCCAAGTTCAATTCCTCCGCCCCTCTCGGAGAGCCCGGCAAGCTACCGAGAGTATTCGATATGCCAGACACAGTAACAACAAAGTCTCCAGTGGAGATGTTACTGGGCCCGCTCGAGCAAATCGACGATCAACGGGAGGGCCTTTACCTTTTGCCTTTACCTTACAATGACGAAGACTTCTTCGTCAAAACCCTGAAAAAATGGTTTGAAGCTCTTTGTGTTCTTGGAGTGAGCAGATACCATTGGGCTACACTAGCATGTGACAGTGACAAATGGAGACATTACTGATGTCTGCTTGAGGAAATTGAAGATCAACAGGATGACAAGTGATACAAGTGATACTCATGCAATAGTAACCTTTTCAGTTCTTTATGAAATTTTATTCAAAGTAGTTGATTTATATAGATTTAAACAAGCTACTTAACAATAAGAAAACAAGTCACATTCCAGAGATCAAGACATTATTTCTTTTTATTTATTTATTTATTTATTTATTTATTTAGAATACCCATCCCTCCACCAGTGCCCAATTCTCACCACTACGGATCCCAGTATCCCTCCAACCCCGCATCCCCCCCATCCCACCCTACCTCTGTGGCAGGACATTCCCCTCTGTTCTCTCTCTCCTTTTGGGTGTTGAGGTTTGCAAAAGAGTTAAGCCTGATTTTCAGGGAGAAATGTTGGATGATTTACTTTCCTTTGGTCACTTTGTATATAAGGAGATTTGAAAAAAATGTCCTGATACCCGCATGCAAGAGCTATGCTTATAGAGGCTCATGATCACCGGGATTCCATCTGGAGAAAGCGGAATGCAGCATCTACCCCATCTGGCACCTCCAGGTGATATTGGCTCTGTTTGGGACCTGGAGCATTCTCTGGGGGCTGTGGGGTCCTCCAGCCGGTTTTCTTCTGTGTTGCTGTGTGCTGTAAGATGGTGCTGCGGGGAGGGTTGTGGGCGTGACTTCCGGAATCAGAGGTTGCCTGGGAGCCAGGGTGGCCCCATTGCAGTTTGGAAAAAATATCCTGGTACCCACATCCAGAGCTATGCTCTGGTCACCGGGGTTCCATCTGGAGAAGGCGGGATGCAGCAACTACCCCATCTAGGACCTCCTGGTGATATGGGCTCTGTTTGGAACCTGGAGAATTCTTCGGGAGCTGTGGGGCCCTCCAGCCGGTTTTCTTCTTTGCTGTTGTGTGCTGTAAGATGGCGCTGGGGGCGGGGTGGGTCAAGAATTATTTCTAAGACCCCCCGGGCCCCCAAAAATTTACTCTACATCAAAATTTCAGCGAAGAATATGTGAAATGTAGATTTCACAGTGGTTTTTATGGTCTTGATTTATGTCTCTTTTCTTAGAAATTTCACTTTTTAAATTTAATTACTTATTTCACTCCTCTCCACCTAGTATGGTATTATGTGCTAGAAGAACAGTGCGCGTTCATTGCTTATCTATAGTGTTATAGGAGCAGTGCTGTGGCTGATAAATGTTTGTTAATTTGAATTATTTTACAAAACTAAAATAAGGACACTTTTACAGCTTGAATGAGTGAATGTGACAGCTGTTACAAGTGTATTACTAAGACTTATATGCTTAATATTGATTTCAATTGTTTATGGCCTGCTTCAATATAGATTCTATAATTTAGATTCATTCAATTTGAAACTTGTAGTTTCTAAGTTTAAATGTGTTTTTTTACTTTTAACATGTTAGTAATTATGCGCAATTTTTACTATGAAAAAACTATTGCCAAAAGAGGAATAAGAAGAAACTTCTATTTTAATTATCCAGCTGCCGTATCTTTAAATTCATGTGAATGTGAATTAAGTTATAACAAATATGTAGTGTTTCTAGTTGTCATTTAAAAATTATTCATCAGGGTCGAAAGAGACTGTATAGTGGGTAGGACATTTGCTTTGCACATGGCCCACCTGGGTTTGATCTCCCCCACATGGTCCCCAAGCACCACCAGGACTAATTCCTGAATACATAACCGGGGCTACCACCTGAGCATTATTGGGTGTGACACAAAACCAAAGAAATTTATTCACCAATCATTTAAAACATTGAACTACACTTGAATCATTTGCTAGTGTCCAAAACAGATTAGGAATCCCAAAGTAAATGTCACTGATCTAAATTTGAAAACTGAAACAGAAGCAAAGAAGTAAAGACCAGTAATGATCACTTCTACCACTTGTCGTCCAGTCGTTCATTGATTTGCTTGAACAGGTGCCAGTAACATTTCCATTTGTCCCTGTCGCATACTAGCATAGCCCGATGGTGTATTGGGGTCAGGGGGAATGAGACCAGTTATTGTTACTATTTTTAGCATAGTGAATATGCCATGGGTAGCTTGCCAGGCTTTGCCATGTGGGTGCGATGCTCTCTGTACCTTGCCAGGCTCTCCCAGAGGCCAGAAAATACTGGGTTCCTCTACCAGTTCCTTCATGCATGAGGCTCATCTGAGCATGTGAAGAGTGGCCTTGAGCACAACTGTGGCTGGGTTGTGGAGGCTTTCAGCTGCTGGGGTTCTGCTTGGGGCGGGGAGAAAAACTCAACCCGCCCCCTCCGAAGGGCCCGGGTGAAGACACCCTGGCACAGGGTCAGGAGGTTCTGCATTGTTCTCTTCTGGGAGCTTTGTTTTATAGTCTCTGGATCTTGGCCATTGATGGCCCTGGGGCAATTTGTGGGTGTGACTGCCAGGTCACTGGAAAATGGGGTATCTGGGTGGAGGAGGCCCAGTCGCATTCTGAGCAGGCTTGGAGATTTCCGCCACAGGTCATGCATACTGGGGTACCAGTATTACCATATTACAATACCATAATTATCATATTACCTTATGATAAAGGTAATCAATTATTTGTTGTCTGAAGATTTAAAGCAGAGTGTCTGAGATCTTTATAGATCTTGCTGACAATTTTTCTTTCAGGGCTATAAGAAGTATTCCTAATCAACTTCTAATTTTAATTAATAAGATGAAATTGGCTGACCAAGAAAATAAAATGTTATTTTGAGGAATGCATAGCCATTTTTCTTGATTTTGTTTTTGTAAAAATGCTTCAGGCCGCTTTTATTATTAGATATTTCCTACTCATTTATGCCTCTCAGAGAGCTCGGCAAGCTACCAAGAGTATCCCTCGCACGGGCAGAGCCTGGCAAGTTACCTGTGGCATATTCAATATGCCAAATATAGTAACAACAATAGGTCTCATTCCCCTGACCCTGAAAGATCCTCCAATCATTGGGAAAAGATGAATAAGAAGAGGCTGCTAAAATCTCAGTGCTGGGAGGAATAGAAAAGTTACTGGCACCTGTTCGAGTAATTTGACGACCAACGGGATGACAGTGATAGAGTGACAATGATACAGTTGTTGTAAAGAAAGGACTTTACAGTGAAAATTTCAAAAAAAACCTTGTGTAATATAAATAACATTTCATTGAAATGTAGATTTCTATCATATATTTGTTTAGCAGTTATTTGATGACTGCCTAACAAGTGGCAAGCTCTATGTGAATTTTCAAGCACATATCTTATTCATTTTTATTTTAGAGTCAGACAGGTGGTTCTTAAAGGAAATACTTATAGCTCAGTGCTAAAGAGTTGCTCCCTGAGAAAATGATGGCTTGAGGAACTGGTCGGGATGTGAGTTGTGTGTTGAAAGTAGATAAAGGACCGAACATGATAACCTTTCAATGTCTGTATTGCAAACCACAATGCCCAAAAGTCAAG